GGCAGCTGAGCCACAGCGGCACATTCCCTGGCTTGGCAGAGGAGAGATGCGCAGCCAGACCTTCGCGCCCCGTCCGTCCGCAGAAGGCAGACCTGAGAGCAAGGGCCGGGGGAGCACGGTGGGGGGACCCGGCTCCTCTGGAGAGGAGCTCAGGCAGAGGCCGGTTCCTCCCTCCGACAGACCAACCAGCCCGAGCAAGGCACCGGCTGACTCAGAGCCACTTCGGCCAAGCCACCCCTCCCAGGGAGCCGTGCCCTGGCCCCACAGCATCGGGGGCGAGACAAGCCAGGCACGACTGCAGCACGTCGGGGTGCCGCGGCGTGCACGTACCTGCGATGCGGCTCCCGTAGGCCACTCCCACCGTGCAGAAGCTGTTGTTTGGCACGGCAGCGATCTCCCCGGCGCAGCGGGTCCCGTGGTGGTTGCCGTTCTCCTCGTCGGGGTGAGGCATAGGGTCGGGGTCGTTGGAGTTCAAGTCATAGCTGCCTTCTGGGCTCTGAAAACAGACCCAGCATCACGACTCGGGGCTCTGCCCTCCTCTCTTCAGGAAAAGCAGGACTTGGGAGCATGCTACGCAGGCTGAAACACAGCCTGGAAGTCGTGGGAACTTAGAGGCTGCTTCCACACAGGGCTGCAGCCCAACACTGCTATCCGCTGCTGCGGGAAAGGGACCAACAGAGGCAGCTTTAGCAACTGCTGCGGGTCACAGGGAGGCCAGCTCCCACGTGTAAGCAGCTACCTCCCACAGGTAGCACGAAGGCTGGTAAACCTGCGACTCGGGAGCAAAATCTCCCAGGGAGGGGTCTGCCGCTGGCACTTCCCACCCTGGCCGAGCCCAAGGGCGACAGCGCGGGTCAGGCTTTGCCGGCAGCCGAGCGCTTGCACGCTCCCGCCTCGCCGCCCAGCCCGCCGGAGGCCTGCGCCAGCTGCGCCGCCTTGCCCGGCCTCCAGCGTGCCCTCGCGCCCTCCCGCCGCGGCGCTGGCACTCACATAATTTGGCTGTATGTCTTTGATGGTGTGCTCCACGCCGTCGTCCACCACCACCACCGTCACGCCGCGCCCCGTCACGTTCCGCTCCCAGACGCCCGTGACATTGATGTCCTTGCCGGGGCTCCTGCGGTTGTTCTACCCACCAGAAAGGGCGGCGGGGGGAGAGAAAGAGCAGAGGAGTGGGTCAGCTGTGAGGACGTGGGCTCCCAGACCTTTCGGGCTGGGAGCACGGAGAGGAGTCACGGGAGATTTGTTTGACGCGGACAGCGAGCAACGGTCGCTCGAGCCACGAAGCGGAGCGCCCAGTGCCGCAGGGCCGCCACCGCGCTCCAGCCTGCTAACCGTACAGCGTGCTCCGGCCCAAACCCCTCTGCCCACCCCAGCGCCACTGGCACGCGGCCAGCTGCGGGAGCTGCCTTCCTCCCGTTATCGCGGCGAGCACGGGGCGGGCAGGGCGAGCTCTCGGCGCCCTTCCTCCTTGCCGCAAGGGCAGAAAGCAACTGTTTTGCCTGCCGCGTGACAGCTCGCTTGTGGCCACACAAACAGCCCGAGCCTGCTAGCACAACAGGAGCCGGAAAACCACTCACCAGATGCCACTGCTGGGGGTATTTGGGATCGTTAAAGTGCAGGCTGCGTTTGGAGCGTTTCAGAAGCTTCTGTTCCGAGTGCCACCGCACGCTGTCGTGCTGTGCAAACAAAGTGTCCACCGACCTCCTTATTGCTTCGGGTTCGCTTGCCGCGTGGCCGTCGGGCTGGTAGGTGAAGAGGTAATGGCCCTTGAGCTCCCCAACGCGGCCCATGTTCACCAGCCCCGCAGTCCGGGCCAGCTCCTCTGCCCGCTGCTCCAGCTCCTCCTCGGGCGCGTCCAAGCTGACAGCCCACGTCAGCTTGCCGTGCCGGGCGTCAGTGCCGGGAGCGCACTCCCCGCCGCAGGCCAGTCCGTCTGACGACGCGAGGGGGATCCAGGCGGCACTCAGCCAAAGGCACGTGTGGATACAGAGCGTGGCCTCCATCCCCGCGCTCCATAGCGGCACCCTCCGCTTCCAATGCGGCATCAGACAGGTGGGCTGCAAACAGCAGGAAATAAAACCGGTGAGAACCTCTTCTGACCCGGAACGGGGCGGCCACGGCCTCACCTGAAGCTCCCACAGAGACCCGCGGCCTCCCGGCAGGCAACGCCGGCAGGCCCGGGCTTGCCACCAACCTCCTCCCCGGCACAGCAGAGATCCTCTTCCAGGAAAACCCCAGCCAAGGCGGCTCCTTCCCAGCACCGCGAGGCCACACCCAGGCCGGGCAGGGATCGATCCCCACCGCCACCCTGCCCGCCGGGGCAGCAGCCCCGGGGCAGAGCGCACCGCGCTGCTGGCCGGGCAGAAGGGAGGCCGCTTCCTTCTCTCGCCGTGGCCCGGCACCGCGGAAGACGGGCAAGAAACTACCGACGGGCAGTTC